GGGATCCAAAGTTTTACCCTCTGCTATCGAATCTATCGTAAAGAAACACCCAGGTATAAAGGATGTTGTCGTTTTCCCCATAAAGGATGTGAAGAACGCAGACGACATCCCTTGTGCTGCCATTATTAAGAAGGACGGAGTGACAGTAACCGAAGAAGCTTTGCGCGAATTTGTTCGCAGAGAAATAGATATTGAAGAAGAGACTGTTTTCATTGAAAATATATATGTTCCCAAACACATCGTTTTTCACAACAAATATTTTCCAAAAACACAAACTGGAAATATAGACAGAAATGCAACGCGAAATTTGTCTATTCCTCGCATTAAGCAAACAGAAACAATGCAATTTTAAGTTATGAAAATAAGCCCACAAATTGAAAAGAAACACAATAATATAAGGAGTCTTTTTAAAAGAGATAATTTTAGAGTTCTTATATAGCCAATACTATTAAATAATAAAAATTAATCATTTATTCTAAAATAATTCTATTTTGTATGTATCAATATATTCATAAAAAATAGACTAAAGTCAATATTTCATATTCATACCATTAAAAAGATTTTGACTTGATACATATATAAGCATTGTTATGATTTACAATTTTACAATGAACCACACAAGAACACATTCAAATGCACTGAATCTTGGTCGTATTTGTCCTCTACATATATTTAGGAATAATTTGGTTTGTAAGTGTGGTCTCCAGGAACAAAGGTAAAGTCAAAAAAGGGTACAAATCTTTAAAGGGATATACAGATTCAGAAAATATTTACAACAAGCATGGTCATGGTTTAATAATAAGTCTAGAAAAGAAGTTAGTCAGTTATATGTTTGTTTTCATAGCAATTAACATATTGTTACTCATCATTGAGAACGTAAGGAAACGACTGTAGAAAACAGGAGAAACATGTAGTTAGGTGTCCAATTAATGCTTTGTTTTGACCAATCAAAGGTCATTATGCAAAGTTCAGGCCCCGGGATCATGAAACATCTAAAGCTTAAGTCAAAATAGTCATAGCGTTCTAAAATGTTGAGTAGGTGAAGCAGACAAAAATCAAAATATTTTTTTTCAATATTGCATCATAAAAATGTTGTAATCTGCAAATTTACATAGGCACCCCCAATCTGAATTGTTCAATTTTTTTTTACATCTACTATACTATAAACATAACTATAGTAAAGTATATGTAATTCTTTTTAACAATTAAGATTGGGAGTGCCTATGCAAAATTAGAAATTCTTTCAGTGATTAATAAAAAAAAATTAAGTCTAAGTCTGTTTCATGATCCTGATCCTTGGTTCAAAGTGCAGTCCTTCATTAGCAATTCAAGTGATGGCATCTCAATTTCAGTAAAAACATTTTAGTCATATGCACGCTGTGGCTCATGTGCTTTGTTAATTGATCTTTTTTAGTTTTCAGATCATGTTTTTGATGAATTGTAGTCTTTGTTATATTTGCAGTTTGAAGAATTACAATAACTTTTTATAAATTTTTTTGATAAATTTGTTAGGCTGTGTCAATGACTTTGTCGGGGTTTCAAACGTCATCTTTAGTAAAAAAAAAAAAAAAAAAAAAAAAAAAAAGGAGGGAAGTATTAAATTTTGGTTTGCTATGGTATAAACTTGGGGGCTACTGCCACACAAAATCAATGATACTGACTTTGCATTCAAAAGGCACATGAAGAGGTGCATTTAATTCTGTTCCGACGTATGTGCAGCTTTTAAACTAAGGGTCAATGCACAAAATGCATATCTTTCGTCGACTGCTTCAGTCGGAAAATTTCCAGCCGTTGGAATAGAAATTAAAGTCGTAGGATATGATGAAAGAGGGATTCCTCTCGGAGAGCATGGGGAAATTCTAGTTCGATCATCTTCTTCCTTTAGAGGATACGTTAAGAATGAAGAACGAACCCAGAGAGACTTCGTCTGCATGGATGGTACAAAACGGACGATTTTGGTCACATTTTCTGTTTTTCGTTATGAATTAAAGATGGAGAACACATGGAAGTAAAAAATTTGAAGAATACACCCGAAAAACATATGGAACTCGAACTTCATGCTTTTTAACAAAAAAGGTCACGGTCGAGTAATTACACATTCGATTACAATATTTTTGGCCTTGACAGGTAAGTATTGCAAATCAAAGGCAAATTTGTAAGCAACTAGTAAACTGAAGTTAAGGTTTTGCACTTTTTGAAAAAATAAAAGTGGGGACTTAGAAATTTTGACAAGTATATTTTAAGTTTTTCCTATGGGCGATCTTAACCTAGCTGCTTAGTAAATCGATTTTCGGAACAAATTTTGGGCGCAGTAGGAAATGACACCTCAGAAGGTGAGAGCATTTGGAAAATAACAGCAGCAAAAGTGGATAACAGTATATTTTATCCAGAGGGGCTTAAAAATATTGCCTTACTTTGTAATAATTGTCAAGGACATAACTTTTGAACTATTTTCACTACTGCCAGTCCGAAGTCGTTCACAACTCTCTCTCTCTCTCTCTCTCTCTCTCTCTCTCTCTCTCTCTCTCTCTCTCTCTCTTTTTCAGAAATCACTGTCTTTTGCTTATATCTAAAGTTTTCGGGATTCCAAATTAAGTTTTGCTTTCTAATATGGAGAATGGACTTAATTATATTCGTTCAGATCAGGCCTTCACAGCACCATACACAACGGTAACAAAACTCTTACAAATATGAGCGTCCCTGAAACCTGACCAAGAAGCTTTCGTACTTTACAACCAAGACCTAACACAGAGATCGATTACATACGACAGGCTGTATAGATTTCTGTTAAAGTGGCGAAAGGAATTTTACGTAAAAGTATTGCGAGGGATGATAATGTAGATGTTGGTCGAAACAACTCACCAGAATGACTGGTGAGTACTTTTGCTGCACAACTAGCAGGTGCCTGTCCAATTCACTTTCCCTTCTTGGAAAGTCAGGTAGTATAATAAAAGACCTCTTAAACAATGTTGGAGGTTGTTCTATGTTGATTTTTGCCCAGGACATGAGGATGGCCACTGGAAAACAATTTAGGATTTTGCTACAGTTGATATAGAATCGGGCTCTGTTAGAAAATCAGATTGAGGAATGTCCCTTGAGTTCATCGAAAAAGTTACTAACAATTTTAGACCTATTCTGCGATGAGGACATTAATTTACCCAAAATAGACCCGATGTATATTGCGGCTATTGTAGCAACATCAGTTAGTACGGGACGTCAAAAGGTTATTCAATGTAGTCATTATTGCGAAATTGAAAATGGCCAAAGGTTGGGTAAGGCAGGGGTCATAGATTACTTAAGAGAAAAACAAGAGCCATTCATCTACTTTTGACCGACCTTTCTACTGGGGTGGAGGTTATCCATGTAGTGAGCTTGTATATAGAGGAACACGCATAACTATTTCAAGTACACTTGCATTTCCATCAATTTCGGACACGATTGATTTTCCGTCCAAGATTATAGAGCAGGAAAAACCATGCATTGGCTTTTTTATCGTTCTTTTTCTTATAAAATCATTGATATGGATTCTTTTCAGTGGAAATACCATTCAGTAAATATAGGAGGTCAATTTACTCTAGCCAAATGTCAGGATGGACTTCGGAAATATTATGACGTTATTTTTGACAGTTATGAAAATTATCAGAATTATCTTACCTGTAAGTTTTTTTTAAATTTCTTCTTGAATTAGTGCAAAATTCAATCAAATTACATTGCAGAAATGTGAGACGAGCTGGACCTTTCAACTAGGCATACATTAACACTGCATTATAAGGATAAACTTTTCCATTGACAGGATTGGAATAGAATAAGTACATTTATGAATGATTACAGATTGTTCTTTGTGAATTAAGAATTGAACAAATGCTAATGAATCACGTTGATAAGCTGTCAAAACCAATGACTAGATTCTTGTTTTAACTTTAAAATATATGTTTTGACCTTTTTACCTTGAATTTTGAGTTTGACACAATTAAAAAAAATTAACTTTGGCCATAACTTTTAAACAGTAAGTACTAGGGCATTCACGTTTTAACCTTCACCAAATGCTGCAATACAGGGGTATTAGTATTTCACAAACACATCTTGTTTGTTGAGCAATGCCTTTTTTTCTCAGTTTTTCACCACAGCACTTGTTTCGGTAATAAATTTTTAACCCATAGTACTGTATATTATTATTAACACTATATTATACTATGGGTTAAAAATTTATTACCGAAACAAGTGCCTGTGTTTTTCACATGCAGTTTTCAAATAAAATTATGTTGACTTATAAATATCAAGAAAGTTATAGTTCATTTTTCCTTAAACCCCCTCACACACACACCCTCACACACACACACACACCCTAACACACACACACACTCACCCTCACACACACACACACACCCTCACACACCCTCACACACACACACACACACACACACACACTCACACACACACACACACACACACACACACACACACACACACACACACACACACACACACACACACACACACACACACACACACACACACACAGACACCCTCTCACGCGTCATTCAGAAAAACAACATAAAACATTCTTTTTTATATTATGATGCTTTTGTCTGCTGTGTGTGTGAGGGTGAGAGAGAGGGTGTGTTTGTGTGTGTGACTCGTCTTATTTACGATTATTAAATTATTTCCGGTATTATATAGTTGTGTCTAAAAACTAGCGATATTATTCCTTCAATGGAATCAAATTCTCCTGATGTTTTAGTTTTTGTTACATTTATACACATCTGAGGAAAACCGACCGCTTAAAACCTGTTTTTAACTACATTATACATTTTATCGCACTAAGGTGACTTGATCTAGATCAACGTGACTTCATTTGCATTAAATTTTTTTTAAAGAAAATTTGTTTTTGGTATGCATCGTTAAAGTACGAGCGAAATACATTTTATTGCCAGGTTAGTGGGTCGTGACTGGATTTGCCCTGAGGTTTATTTGTATAAAATTCTCACCTTCATAGCAACATGGAGAACGTGCTTAGTTATATACGTTCACAAAAACCTATCAAGGCACCTTACACAACCATACCAAAACTTGTACAAAAATGGGCATCTCTAAAGCCAGAAAATGAAGTCTGTGTTTTCTACAGTCAAACCTTGACAAGAAAATCAATTACATACGGCCAGCTTTATGAGGATTCATACAAACTAGCGAAAGGACTTGTACGTAAAGGCATTGGGAGGGACGATATCGTGGGTGTTGGTGGAAACAACACACCAGAATGGCTTGTGAGTACTTTTGCTGTACAACTAGCAGGTGCCCGCCCCATCCACTTTCCCTTCTTGGACAAATCGGGAAATGGAATAAAGGATTTGTTGAACAGCATTGGAGGATGTTCCATGTTGATCTTTGACCCGGGACATGAGGATGGCCACTGGAAAACAATTCAGAATCTCGCATCAGTTGATCCAGAAACGGGCTCTGTAAAGAGATCCGAGATATTTGGTCTTAAGTGGATTGTACTAGAAAGTCCATTGAGTTCATCAGAAAAATTCTTCACGATATCTGACCTGTTCTGCGACGATGTAATCACTTTACCAGAAATAGACCCGGAAGATACTGCAAGCATTTTAATGACGTCAGGCAGTACAGGACGTCCAAAGACTGTGGAATGGAGCCATTATTTCTTTATCCAAAATGCCCATAAATTAGACGATGCCATGGACATTGCTGGAATATTAGAGAAACAAGAAGTACCTGTCTACCTCAATGATCGGCCATTCTTTTGGATAGGAGGGTATCCTTTCTGGTGTACCATAACAGGAGGAACACGTGTAACTCTATCAAGTACACTTGCGTTTTCATCGATATCTGAAATGGTCAACTTCTCAACCAAGATTGCAGTGAAAGAAAAAGCAAACAGTGGATTCTTTATTGTTCCATTTCTTTTGGAATTGCTTGCCATGAAAAATTTCCCCTTGAAATTCCACTCTGTTATAACTGGTGGACAACCTGTACCAGCAAATTGCTTGTCTGGTATAGGTATAAAGTATGAGGTTATTTCAGACGTATATGCAGCTTCTGAACTTGGGTCCATTGCACAAAATACATATCGTTCATCGTCTGCTTCAGTCGGAAAATTTCCAGCTGTTGGAACAGAAATTAAAGTCGTAGGATTTGATGAAAGGATGGTCCCCCTAGAAGAGAATGGAGAAATTCTAGTTCGATCCTCTCCCTCCTTTAGAGGATACGTTAAGAATGAAGAACGAACCCAGAAAGTAATGACTTCGTCTGGATGGTACAAAACGGACGATTTTGGTCACATCACAAAGGAAGGTCACTTGGAAGTACTCGGAAGGGTGTCTGACGTCATGTTGATTTCGGGATTAAAGGTTTTACCCTCAGCTATTGAATCTATCATTAAGAAACACCCAGATGTGAAGCAAGTTATCGTTTTCTCCATAAAGGATGTTAAGCACGCAGACGACATTCCTTGTGCTGCCATTGTTAGAAAGGACGGAGCGATGGTAACCGAAGAAGGTTTGTGCGACTTTGTCCGCAAAGAAATTAATATTGACGACGAGGCTGTTTTTATAGAAAACATATATGTTCCCAAATACATTATTTTTCACAAGATGGATTTTCCAAAAACACAAACTGGAAAGGTAGATAGAAGTGCGACAAAAAAGATATCCATTCCTCATCAAGACAATCTGAAGTAATATTTTTCTCATGTGATAAATTGATAGACAGAAATTTTTATTAAAAAAAAATGTTCTGGTAAATTTCAATTTGTATAGTAAGTAATGTTTTTACATGAAAATTTTAGTTTAGAAATTTTTCTCGTAAAAATTACAAACTGTGCAAATTGCTGAATTCCATTTCTTTAATCAATCATGTTTATTTCAAATCACAAAATAATGATAATTTTAAAACATATGTATGGTATATGATTTGTAAGCTAAAAGACATTCTGTTACAAGGATAATAAATTCTGAAATATGAAGATTCATATTAAGCCACTACGAGATCATATATGTGAAGTGAAGAGCCTTAGTACAGTAAAACACTGTATAGAGAGAAATAGAAACAATCTCAAATATACCAAATAAAACATTTTGAAGAATTCAATTTTATCTAATAATATTTAAAAATAATATGACCCGAAATATAAAAGATACAGCTGTGACATTACTTTTGAATCAACCCTGGTATCAGGTTATTGAAACCACTGTTTAGTACGATAGTTCGCGTAAACAAAGTCCTTGTCCTATATTTTCGTGTACTTGCATAATTTCCATAATTTAAGAATTTAATTTTTAAAATGGAAAATGGACTAATATGCTATAAAGACTGCATGAATTGACACATGAAGAATCCTGGAGTAATGTAAAAATGAAAGAGATTAATAAATGTACACCACATAATGTCATTTAATTCTGCTTTTGACATACATGTACTAGTATGCACCTTTATTTTCCGGTATAAAATGTTTGAACATGTTCATTAAATAGGTGAGGAGTCAAGAAATTAGAAATAAAGCTGCCCTTTTACATTTATCAAAAAGTGGAATCTGCTTAATTGAAAGCTAAGGACTTTTTTTGCCTGCCAAATTTTACTTTTAATTTTTCCAAAACGTATAATTTGTGTAAAACTTGTTTATGTGAAAGATTGAATGATCGAATCCATGCGATAACAAAATTTACTTATGTGAGAATGTAAACTGTTGGCTACACCTGTAGGAATAACTCCATGAAATCCACGAGTTTTACCTCGTTTTATGACGATTCCTAAATATTTCTATTTCTCTTTGTTTTCTCTGTGATAATATTTTACTCTTTGAAAATTAGGTAAGTTGATCTCTGAATAATCTATCTGGAATGTGTATTTTGCCAATTAGCGAAAGGTCAGGGGTTAAATAGGCCTAATATACATGTAGTTGTCGTGCGTCCGCCTTTGCGTCTGACGTCATTGGGCGGGAACAATTCAAATTAACATTCAAGGCCTCGTGAAATCTATATTAAGTAGACATTTTTTTTAAATGAAAATTTACAATTTTATTTTACAATGAAATGTAAATAAAAGGAATTAGTCTTAGCTTATTGGGTATGCCAGGGACATCAACAATAGGTAAAACAAGGGATAATTCATGCAAGATTGACTTAGCTTAAGCCTTGACATTCACAGGGGGCTATGATAATGGAATATTTCATCTGATAAAAGGCTTGACTTTGAAAGGAACACAGCTTTTGGGCTGTATATTGGGAAAGTGTTAAGATCAGTGAGTATCTAGAAGACACAAGTAGAAGTAAGAGAGGAGTAATTCATATATTTCCCTTACCAGTAACATGTATATCCTGCATGGGCTTTGGTTATTTTTTCACCTTTTAAAGTACCTTTGAAATGTATTAAGAAGAATAAACTGCTATGGTAGCAATTAAAGTCATTTCTTTAATAATGTGAACAACATTACTGACTTTGTTGTGTAAAGATAACTATCAGAATATGTATGAAAACAATACTATCAAAATTCTTCAGTGCTTTTTTTCTCTACGAATGAAGTAAATTAAGAAGATTTACCTGGGTTTAAATTAAAATACGTGCAAACATTAACTTATTTAATAATTTGATTAATTAATGTGTATCTTAGATCTTTAAGAACCTTATTTGAGGGATTTTATTTTTACAAGTGTGGGCATTGAATTGGAAAAGGATAATAAAGTGAAGATTGCCAGAAAAGATAACCATTATACCTAGAATAGTTCGTTGTAGCAAGATAAAGCATATTAAAATTTTTCCTTTCTCCTAAAAACGTCACAATTTCTTCATTTCAGATATACATTTTGAGTCAGATTGGTTTAGGGATAGGCTTGGAAGATGGACTAAGTTACATCCGTTCAAATCAGGTCTTCGCAGCACCTTATACAACAATACCAAAACTTTTACAAAAATGGGCGTCCATGAAGCCTGACCAAGAAGCTTTCGTGTCTTACAACCAAGACCTAAAACGAAAATCGATTACATACTACAGGCTCTACAAGGATTCTGTTAAACTGGCGAAAGGACTTGTACGTAAAGGTATTGGGAGGAACGATATCGTGGGTGTTGGAGGAAACCATACTCCAGAATGGCTGGTGAATACTTATGCTGTGCAACTATCAGGTCCCCGTCCAATTCATTTTCCCTTCTTAAACAAGTCAGGTACCCTGAATCCAGAGCTTTTAAACAATGTTGGATGTTGTGCAATGTTGATTTTTGACCCAGGACATGAGGATAACTAATGGGAAACAATTCATAATCTTGCTAAGATTGATCCAGAAACGGACTCTGTTAGAGAGTCAGATGTAGCTTCCCTTAAATGGATAGTATGAGAAAGTCCCTTGAATTTATCGGAAAAATCCTGACAATCTCAGACCTACTCTGCGATGAGGATATTAATTTTCCGAAAATAGACCCGGATAATATTGCAGTTATTCTAGCAACAGCTGGTAGTACGGGGCGTCCAAAGCTAATACAAGGAAGCCACTATCACGTTATTGAAAATGGTCAAAGAGTATGTGACATTGATTTCTTAAAAGGAAAACCTAGAGTCATTTATTTACTTTAATGACCGACCTTTCTATTGGGTTGGAGGCTATCCATGTTGTGAGCTTGTATATGGAGGAACACGTATAACTATTTCGAGTACACTTGCATTCCCACAAATTTCGGACACGATTGATTTTTCGTCCAAGATTATAGAGCGAGAAAAACCAACCTCTGGCTTCTTTATCGTTCCTTTTCTGCTAGAAATAATTTCAAGGGAATCTTTTCCATGGAAATTCCATTCAATAATTACAGGAGGTCGACCTGTTCCAGCCAAATGTTTGGATGGAATCGGGAAATATTATTATGACGTTATTTTTGACAGTTATGGAAACACAGAGATCGGAGTAATGACAGTAAATATAAGTCGTACATCTATTGCATCAACTGGAAAAGTTCCAGTTGAAGGAATCGAAATTAAAGTCATAGGATCTGACGACAGAATGGTGAAATAGCTATACGTTCATGTCCTCTATTCAGAGATTATGTAAACGATGAAGAGCGAAACAAGAAAGTGCTCATTTCGTCTGGATGGTATAAAACGGACGACTTCGGTCACATCTCAAAAGGTGGTCGATTGAACTGTACTTGGAAGGGTTTCTGATGTCATGGTTATTTCGGGATCCAAAGTTTTACCCTCTGTTATCAAATCTATCATAAAGAAGCACCCAGGTGTGCGGGATGTTGTCGTCTTCCCGATTAAGGATGTTAAGCACACAGACGACATCCCTTGTGCTGCCGTTATTAGGAAGGACGGAGAGACTTTAACCGAAGAAGTTTTGCGCGAATTTGTCCGCAGAGAAATAAATACTGACGATGAGACTGTTTTCATTAAAAGCATATGTGTTCCCAAAAACTTCGTTTTCACGACAAAGATTTTCCCAAAACACAATCTGGAAAGATAGACAGAAATGAAACACGAAATTTGTGTATTCCTCGCATTTAGGAAACATAAAACAATGTAAAGTTGAGTTATGGAAATATTAGCCTACAATTTGAAAAGAAAAACGATAATACCAGGCGTCTTTTTAAATGAGTACATTTTTTAATGTTTGTTTTTGAGCTAATAATTAAAAATAAAAATTATTCATCTACTTCAAAACATTTCCATCTTGTATGTATCAATATATTCATAAAGAATAGACTAAAATGAAACTTTATATTCGATCGTACCATTATTATTGCATGTAGATTTTGACTTGTAGGCATTGTAATGTTTTAAAATTTTACAATGAACCACGGAAGAAAACAAATGCACTGAAGCTGGGTCATATTTATCAACTACATACCGATACATTCAGGCATAATTTGTTATTGAGGTATGCTGTCCAGGCACCTTATCAAGGCACCTTACACAACCATGCAAATAATTGTTCAGAAATGGGCATCATAAGAAAATCAATTACATACGGCCAGCTTTATGAGGATTCCATCAAACTTGCGAAAGGACTTGTACGTAAAGGCTTTGGGAGAGACGATATCGTGGGTGTCGGAGGTATTTTAATGACATCAGGCAGTACAGGACGTCTAAAGGCTGTGGAATGGAGCCATTATTTCTTTACAACTTGCCCATAAGTTAGACGATGCCATTGACATTACTGGAATATAAGAGAAACAAGAAGTACCTGTCTACCTCAATAATAGAACATTCATTTGGCTTGGAGGGTATCCTGGCTGGTGTCTATCAAGTACACTTGCGTTTTCATCGATATCTTAATCTGTTAACCTCTCTACCAAGATTGCTCTGAAAGAAAAAGCAAATATTGGAACCTATCTTGTTCCATTCCTTTTGGAAATGCTTGCCATGGACAATATTCCCTGGAAATTCCACTCTGTTATAACTGGTGGACAACCTGTCCCTGCAGATTGCTTGTCTATTATAGGTATAAAGTATGAGTTTTTTTCAGACGTGTATGCAGCTTCTGAACTAGGGACCATGACACAGAATACATATCGTTCGTCGGCTGATTTAGTCAGAATAGTTGCTTCTGTTGGAATAGAAATTAAAGTCGTAGGATCTGATGAAAGGATGGTTCCTATCGGAGAGAATGGAGAAAATCTAGTTCGATCCTCTCCTTCCTTTAAAGGATACCTTAAGAATGAAGAACGAACCCAGAAAGTACTGGATGGTACAAAACGGACGATTTTGGTCACATCACTAAG